AAATGTAAAAATATATCAATATTTTTTTATATTTTTTTAAAAAAATATTAAACAAAATTAATAATTGTTTAGTTTTCATTTTTAGACATGTTAGGTCAGATCAAGTTGGGTTGGGTCGGATCAGGTCAAATGTATATTTAATTCAGGTCAATTTTATGTTTGATCTAACCTGATCTTATCAGGTCAGATCAAGTCAATTACCCAATCTGACCCGACCTGTTCAGAGCTCAAAGATGTATAAATTCAGTATTTTTACTTACGGAAAAAGAAGATTTTCAGTATCTAGTATACGGAAATATTTACGAATTTATTATACTGTTTTTAAACATATCATTTCTGTATACTTTCCTTATACATATTATTTATAGGGTCGAATAAGATAATTATTATTTATCTTACAAAATATTATTTAATTAAACTCATTCATGATTATTTCAGCTTAATAACCACATCTCTTCTATCAGATCTTCTTAGCATTTTCTATTAAACCTTTACAAAATATATCTCACAAAATGATAGATACATTAATATCATTAAACTTATTATTTCTTCTTTATTGGTAAAATTGATTTACAAAATGATAAGAAATAAGAATAAGTATCTCTCAATTATCTCATAATTTACATTTTTCTTTATGAAAATCTTTATAAGAATATTTGAAAACACTATTATAAATTATTAAATAATAATAAAAAAACTCTTTAAGAATATCTAAAAAAAACAAAAATAAATGAAATGCCAGTAAATTTTTGACTTACCTTACCAAGTATCACATTTATAATAATTGGAAAACTTGAATCTATTTAGCAGATAAATATGATAACTCATTTTCATATTTATAATAAGTATAACTTTAATCATTAGATATATTTAGTAGATCTGTTAAAGGAAAAAATGATGATAGATCAATTTAAATAGGTTTGAAAAATATTCTTTTTATTTTTTACTTTGTATCTTGTATTACATTTAATTAATAACAACATCGTAAAAAAAAATAATAATCAAACAATATATAAGCTTTTAAAATGAATTAAAGAAAATTATAAGCTAGCATAAATTGTAATCTATTAGATAAAAAAATTATATAATTTTTAATATTACCATATATTGTATATCAAATTAACTTCGCCCAATAGAATACAGTTTCATTTTTGCTAAAATATCTCCTGAAGTTATCACAACTTCATTATTATAATAAGTTTCATCATTACGTGCATGAGCATCGGTGATAAAAACAAAAATATGTTTCCCAACATTTGCATCTAACACCTTTTGATGTTCAAATTTTACAACTCCTTTACCCCGAATATTTGGTAAATGTCCAATGATTTCTTTCTTTCGACTGATAACTTCTTGTTTATCTTGAATAAATATAGGTGGATCTGTAATTATAATTCCATCTGAAAAGGAAGCATTTGGCAGGTTGTGAAAAGCAATACATTTCTTATTCAATTCTTTTAAATAATTATTAAAAAATTGAATCCAATAGTCTTTATCAACTCTATAAGGAGTTGAATGCACAACAAATTTGGGTTCAAATTCAATAAATTTATCTGACTGTCCTTTTCGCAATGGAACCAGATCAGAAAGCCAACAATTTCCTCTTTGACCCTCAATAATTTTTTTATCACTGATAGATTTATAATATATTCCCCACAGACGAAAAACCATTGTTGATAATGTTAGTGCCTCGTTTTCATCTGATGAAAGTGTATTTTCTACAAACTGGAGAAGTTTAATAGCTGGCAACTTGTTGTGATCAAAATAATGATAAACTTGCTGTAAAGTAACAAATGGGAGTACAAGCTTATCTTTATTCAGGAAAATCAACTCATCTATTTCCAAATCCTGTGAAAAAAGAGCATAAATTAAATAAATAACTTGCATGTAACCATTAATATTGTAAGTAAATTTACCTGAATCTTTCTTTTTCCTAATGTAGTTGTTCGAGTAACTTCCCACACAAATAAAGTATATGCAAGTAACTGAGGGATAATTTCAATATTCTCTTGTGATGTGTATGCATTGTAGTAACGTGAATAAGTTCTATTTATCTTATCTTTCACTCTTCTAAGAAGAATTGTGCAATAATTATGATCATATTGACAATTTTCCAAAAAATAACGATATCCTTCGTGATAAAACTTTGTTTCCAATGTATTTTTATTCCCCTTGGCACCGAACCCAAGGATAGCCATTTCAAATATGATAATTTCTAGATAACGACCAACAACACCAAGAAGACTGATTATATGTTTTAGATTTGAAGAAATTTCCCCAATTTTCCTGACTTTAATCAAATATTAATTTTGTAGGTCTCATAAAATATATAATCAATGAATTAATACTCACTTTTCTTGATTCTAAA